GCATCGCCCCTGTCGGGGGACTGGGGCGGGAGTTTGCGGACGTAATCCTTCAGGAGGAGCTCGTAGCGCGGGATCCTCTGCACGGGCTCCAGCATGTGGTGCTGCAGCGTCAGGTTAGCACACACCTTCCTCTTCTGGCCAGGGACAGCAGGCACGGAGAGAGGAACAGTGACCCAGGCAGCTCCCAGCCTCTGTTTCCCCATTCCCTGGAGATTTTGGGAGCTCTGCCTTACCTGGATGTCAGCAATGAGCTCCTGGAAGGGGGGTGATTTCTCTGACCAGGTAGTGATGAGCTCCACAGCCTTGTCAAAGTTCTTCACGTACTCCCCGTACATCTTGAGGAAGGGTGCAAGCTTCTGGATGACATCCCCAATGCGGGGGTTGCGGTTCCTGCAGGAGGAACCACAGACCAGCAGCTTCCTCAGGACAGACAGACAGTGAGGGATGAACTGAAGGACCACAGTGGAGGACTGAGGTTTTCCCCACACTGTTTCCTGCTCTCCAGAACAGGAATGTCCCCACCTTGCAGCCAGCCTGGGCTGTCCACACCCAGGCACACCCTCAAACCACCTGAGATGTCACCCACCTTTCCCTACTCTGATCTGAGCATTTTAAGGAAGTGTTTTCCAGCAAAAGACACTTGGAGCAAAACAGGCTGAGCTCTGGTCCTGGTGGGAGCCTGAATTCAGTGCTGCTCCCCCATTCTGGCCAAGCCCCCTGGGTGTCCTGCCCTCCCCTCCTGCAGCTCACCAATCCTCCATGCGTTTCTGCAGCTCTGGCAGGAAGAACTCAGCGTGGAACTGGTAGATGGAGGAGATGTTGGAAAAGATCATTTTCACCACCTCCTCTGGGACCGTCTTCCCAGTTTTGGCTTCTTTCATCAGCTCTGTATAGAATACCTGGAAGAAAGAAGGGTGAACAAAAAGGGCCAGGGAGATGCTTGAGGATCCCATTCCCTCTCTGGGACAGGCACATCACCCAGTGAAAGGCCTGACTGTGCAGGAAGAAAATCCCAGGCTCCAAGAGGAGAGGGGGATGGAAGGCTTTGCTGGGACAAGGGTGCTTCCCAGAGGTGTGGGGTGTAGAAAAGGCAAAGGCCAAGCCCAATCTCTGGCTGAAAAGACCAGAAGCCTAAGTGTTTTTCATTTTTACAGCTTCAATCCCTCCAAAATCCCCTTGCACTGGTCCCTCCACTCCCCAGTTCACCTGGTCAAGGAGGTGGAGGCGGTTGACATAAGCCTGCTCTGTCTCCAGCAGCTCCAGGGCGATTTTCTTTTCCTCTGGTTCCTGCGTGGGGAGCAGGGCTCAGTCTCATGGGCAAAGATGAGACCTTGAGCCAGCCCTGCCTGAGTGTGGGCACCCACCAGCCCCTGGAGCTCACCTGGCTGCCAGGCTCCAGGCCTGGGCCCTGTGGCCTCCTCCAGTTGTCCTCACGGATTTTGCACCGCAGAGAGCGGAGGCATTTGAAGCTGAGTCCCCGCTGACCTTGCTGATCCTCCTCATTCTCTTTTCTGGCCAGGGAGTGGCTCTGGCTGCCAGGGAATGCTGGAAGCTGCTGGGGCTGCCTGCCTGCCTGCTTGTCCCTCTGGGCAGATGTGCTGTCCCTGCTACAAAGGAATGTGATCAGCTCAGCCATTCCCCCAGCACAGCCCCCAGGCCCAGCTTAAAGCCACCAAAAGGGACAAGAGCAGCAGCTGTCCAGTGCTGCACTCCAGCCCTGCAGTACAAAAATCCTCAGCATCCTCCACGGGGCCAGAATCCAGCCTCTCTTCTCCCAGAGCCCCCTGCTGCTGTGCCCAGTCCCTCTCCTGCTGTAGAAAAGTAGGATCCTGCTGTTTATCCCACCCACAGCTCTGGCTTTTTGCCTGCTGCCACCACGGAGAAAAGCAAGGAGAAGCCCAACAGCCAAGAGTTTTGAGCCAAGAGCAGCCATGTGTGGGTGGTTTTGCAGACAGGTTGTTTTTGGTGGTGTTCTCTCTTCCCTTTTCTGGCAAAGACAAAGAAAGCAGGTCCAGAGCAGGCATGAGGGAGAAGCCAGGCCGTGAAGGTGACAGCAAGTGACTTGTCTGTCATCCAAGAGCTGGTCACTGCAGGAAACTGCTCTGGGCAGAAACTGGAAAGACATCCACTGTTGGCCTGCAGACAGGAGTGGGATGGACGGGATGGGAAAGACATGAAGAAATTGGACATCAAACTGCAAAGCTGAAGATAGGAAGTGACTGAAAGCCAGAAACTCATCTGAAGAGGATGCCAGCTCCATCCCATGCTCAGGATGTTCTGTGAGCTCAGGAGTGCATCCACAGCCATGCACAAATCCCCTCCTGTTCAGGGGGGCTGGCAGAACCCTTCAGAGACAAAGAGGCTTTTCCACCTTTCCTGGTGCCTCCCAAACCTGTGTCAGCCTAAAGCCATGGCTGGGTCCCAACAGGGAACTTCTCTCTTTCTATTTATGCTGACTTAGGCCAAACCGTTGTCTGCTCCAAAATGTTTTGCTCATTCCCAGGTTCCCTAGCTTCCTCTGAAAGTCTCAAGTTACTTTTATTTCCTCTAAATCAAACACACTCCAGGGCAAACAACAAACACACTGCCGCAGTGACATGGGAGCAGATCAAACACTGATCACAAGGCTCCAACACAACATCACTGTGGGATGATGGGGTCAACCACAAAGCCTGGGGAAAAGCACACAGCAGAGATGCAGGAGTTCCTGAAATGAAAGGAAATCTCGTGCCTGAGCGTCTTCAGGAATTGCTGCAAAACTCACCTGCCCAACCACCCAACCCCTCCAAGGCTCACTGAGAGCATCTCATGGGTACAAGGAATGGCAGGATTCCATATCTTGATCCATCAGGTGGAGAAAGTGAGGCACAGCCCTGACAATAACTCACCTGAAGCCTCATAATTACTTTTACACCAGAGCCAGGGCAGATCCTCTTGCTCAGACCCCAGCACACCCTGTCTGAGTGTCCCAGCTCACACCCCAAAGGAAGGAGCTGTTTTATGGAAGGAATTCTCTCTCTCCCTTAACATAATTTCTGTCTCCTTTCCTAGGAGCCACATCCCTGCAAACAACTGGACAGTCTGAGGCTGGGACCCTCCCAGACACCCAGGCAGTTAATTCCCAGTGACAACCCCTGCCTACACATTTGCAAACCAGGATTCCTTTCCCCAGCAGCAGCAGCCAGGCTGAGTGTGGAGATGCTGGGTGCGGGGGCACGGCTGCCACAGCCTGACCCTGAGCCAGGCAGAACCACTCACACCCACTGAGGTTTTCAGATTCTGCTCATGACCCGCAGTGGGAAGAAAACACTGAGGCAGGCCTGAGTGGTGAAGGATTGCAAATCACCTTGTCAGCTTCTCCACAGGCTCCAAACCACCTCCACAGTGGGTTTCTTCCTTCCCAAATCCACTCCACCCTGAGCACCCAGAGCCCTCCTGCCTTACCAGTGCTCTTCAAACGCAGCCACCAGCTTCACCACGCTCTGCTGATTATCTGCCTTCCCCTCCATGGCACGGGCTGGGAGCAGCTCCTGGGTGCCCAGGAGCTGCAGGGGCAGGTGCTGGGGGCTGCAGCTCCTTCCTCTGTCCCCCTCTCTGCTCTGAAGCGTTTCTGGCTGCAGTTTGGGAACGAGGGTTTGCACGAGGCAAAGCCCACCCGCTGCCCTCTCTGGGCTGGCCTCAGAAGGGAAGGGAAAGAGGAACCACAGCAGTTTGTGGGTAGGAGAAATGCTGAGAAAACACTGGGAATCGCTTTAGGTTGGGAGGGACCCAAGGGGTGGCACAGCCAAGGCCAGAGCAGCAGCAGCGATGGTGCAGGGCAGGCGTGACCTGGGACACCAGCAGCACGGGTGGGCTGGGCTGTGTCCCACCAGGCTGGGCTGTGTCCCACCCGGGTGGGCTTCAGGGTGGGATCTGGGCAGTCCAGAAGGCTGGAGGGGCCAGGAACGGGCTGGCAGGAGCCTGGTGCCCAGCTAGGGCTGGTGTGTCTGCCCCAAACACCAACGGCTGTGGGGCCAGCCGGGCACTGCTGGTAACACACACGGGCTGCTGGTGACACCGTGAGAAAGAACAAGACGTGGCTGGAGAAGGGCCCACATGGAGGCAGGGCAACGCTTTTCCAGAAAGGTCTGAGACGGTGCACTGAGCATGAGAGACAATTTGCAGGGCAAGTGAGAAACACATCCCAGAGCTTGTGCCCCAGGAGCCGGGACACGCATCCCGTCAGCCAGACCAATGCTGCAACCAGCACTGGAGAGCTCCTTTCCTTTTCCCCTCTTTTCCTTTTCCTTTCCGTGTATTTTTTTGGATTTTCTTTCTTTTTTCTCGTTCTTTTCTTTTCTCTTTTCTTTTCTTGTTTATTTTCTCTTTTCTTTTCCCTTCTTTTCTTGTTTTTCTTTTCTTGTTTCTTTTCTCTTCTCTTCTTTTCTTTTTTCTCGTTCTTTTATTTTCTTTTTTCTTTTCTTGTTTATTTTCTCTTTTCTTTTCCCTTCTTTTCTTGTTTTTCTTTTCTTGTTTCTTTTCTTATTTCTTTTCTCTTCTTTTCTTGTTTCTTTTCTCTTCTTTTCTTATTTCTTTTCTCTTTTCTTTTCTTGTTTCTTTTCTCTTCTTTTCTTGTATTTCTTTTCTTGTTTCTTATATCTTTTCTCGTTTCTTTTATCTTCTTTTCTTGTTTCTTTTCTCTTCTTTAAACCCGGCCAGGCACTAACACCCAACTCCACAAACCCCTGAACGCCCTCTCCTTGTCCCGCCTCTCCCCCCGCCGCCATTGCCGCCCTCACGCCGGGGCTCCCCCCGTCCCCGCAGTGGTTCGTTCGCTATGCTCCCCCCCGCCCGCGCGGCGCGGTGGCGCGGCCGGCGCGGTGACGCGCGAGCCATGGCGGCCGTGGCGGCTTGTTTCTTATCTCTTTTCTTTTCTCGTTTCTTTTCTCTTTTCTTTTCTCTTATTTTCTTGTTTCTTTTCTCTTTTCTTTATCCTTCTTTTCTTGTTTTTCTTTTCTTGTTTCTCGCCGCTGTCGCCGCCTGGCGGGGGCGCGGCGGACGCGGCGGGGCCTGAGGGCGCCGAGGGCCTGTTCGTGCTGCTGGGCGCGGGGCTCGCCGCCGCCAGCCACCCCCTGCTCTACGTCAAGCTGCTCGTGCAGGTCCGCGCGGCGGGGTGCGGGGGGAGCGCGGTGTGTAACGGGGGTGGCGGCTCCGGGGTAACGGGAGGGTTTGGGGGGGGTGCTCCCGTGGAGGCCGCCGTGCGCTGGGGGCCCCTGTGCGGTGGGAGCACCGGTGGGATGGGCGAGCTCGGTGTCATTGAGGGGATGGGGTCCCGGTGGGTAACGGGGCATTGGGACCCCGGTGTGACGGGAGGAGCTGGATTCCTGCAGGGCCCCTGTGGAAACCCCCATGTGCTAGGGCTAGATATATATACATATATATATGTATATGTATATCTGTATGTATATGTGTATATCTGTATAGGTATGTATATATGTGTATATATATGTTTGTATATTTATTTTATATTTATTTATTTATTTATTTATTTATTTATATGTACAGCCGCCTGTTACAGTGGGACCCCCTGTGCAATTTGTGCATCTACACAATGGGGTCACCTATAGATGGGGAACCCCCATGTGTACCAGGGTGTAGTCCCTGTGTGGGATGGGGCTTTGGGACCCCAGTGGATTCCTGGTTCGTGCCCCTTTGGAAGCCTCCATGCCCTGGGGGTCACTGTACAGGCACAATGGGACCCCCTGAGCACTTAGAGAATGAGGGACACCTGGGTAATGGAGTGCCCCATATGTAAGGGAATGGGGTCCCCTATACACTGGTGGAGCCTACATAAAAATGGGGTCCTGTATAATAGGAGGGTGGGGATGCCTTCTACAACAGGGGCACCCTGTATAGGGAATAGGGGACACCATGTAATGGAGGGGTGAGGTCCCCCATACAGTGGGGGATCCTTTGCAGTGGGGTGTTGGGACCCCTCCTGTGCCAGGGAATGGGGACACCCACTGGGAACCCCTACAAAATCACCCTTCCCCCATAGAAGGAGGGATAGGAAGCCCCAAAACCCTCTCAGTAACAGGGACCCCCCAAAATGGGAGGGTGGAGGACCCCCTGTAACCTAGGGACCCCATAAAAAGGGGAAAGGAGTGCCTGAGAGTGACAGGGGGATGCTGGGACCAATCCTGTTCATCCCAGGGACTTTGGGAACACCAGAACACAGACCTGCTCACAAGCTTTCCCTCTCAGGTTGGCCATGAGCCACTGCCTCCAACCGTTGGAAGAAATGTGCTGGGAAGGAAGGTCCTGTACATGCCTGGCTTCTTCACCTACGGTGAGTGACTGTCCCTCCCTGCCAGCACGAGGTCCTGCCCTCGTGGAATCGGGGCTGGGAGCTGCCAGGCAGCCTGAGCTGACCCCCAGCAGCACTCCCACATCCCCTTGGGGTCACCCCAAGGCTGCAGTGAGGCATAACCCACCAAAACTCCTTGCAAGGCTGTCAGATTTATGTACCGGGTGCTGGTGCTGCATCATGTTCCTGTGGCACATTGCTCTGGGTTTGCTCCGTGGTGGAGGGGTTTGGGGGGGTTTAGGTGGTGTAGGCTTGTTGCAGGAGGTTTTTGTCTGTTTTGGAGGTTGCAGAATACTTTCCTTCTGCTCCAAAACAGCCCTGGAATAACCTGCCCCCTGTCCTGCTCATTTGTGTTGTAGATGGAGCCCTAAAGGGACAGAAATACCAAGAAAAGGGCAGGTGATATGTTTAGAGGGGAAAAAAATAGTATTTTCCTCTTTTTGTGGGTGGAGCAGCATGGGAGAGGTGGGTGAATACTTTGTGAGCTGCTGTCACAGCAGCTTTGCTGTGGGGAAGGGGAATGCACTGTCCTGACAGCTGACTGGGCCAATCCCAAAATCAGCCAGGGGTATCCACGGGGTGGAACCAGCACAGGAGCAGGATGGGAGCCCTGGAAGCCCATCCTGGGACACCCAGGGCTGGAAATGCTCCAGTGCTGCCCTTTGGAAGCTGCAGTTTCCAAAGAGATGGGCAGTGTTGGGTGATGGAGAGGTGCAGAGCCCACCTGGCCTCGCTTGGACAGCACAGGACAGGGGCCAGGAGCAGTCAGTAGCCACCAGCACATAGTGGGTTTTATCCCACCTCATTATTTGTGGGAGAAATGGGATCTCAGGGCTTTTTTTTGCAACTAGAGACCCCAGGAAGTTTGCCTGGGAGAAGGTGGTGGGGCAGGAACTGAACATGGGTTTGTGAGGTCCATATGGACCCCGAGTCAGACCTTGCTGGGTGGAGGGAGGAGGTGACAGCACAGAGCACCTGGGATGATCCTCCCTGCCTGGTTCTGTCCAAACTGCCTTGGAGCCCTTTCAGGTGAGCAAAACCATCAAAAGACAAAAAGCAGCCCAAAATATTGGAGCTGTCCTTCTAGATTAGACAGATGACAGTAAGAATTCTTGTCCTCCTGTGTGAAGTTTCTTTAGGACTGTTACAATAAATCCCTTACTGTGGGGCCCTGGAGTGGCTGCCGTGCTGAGCTGAGCCTGGTGTGGTTTCAGCTGAGCCCTGGGGCTGTTTGGGCTCTCCAGGCACTGTCCCCTCCCCAGCTGACAGCAGCCTGGTGTTGTCCCACCCAGCCAGACACATCGTGGAGGTGGATGGGAAGAGAGGCCTCTTCCGTGGCCTGACCCCGCGCCTCATCTCAAGCACTTTATCAACCATCACCAGGGGGAGTGTGAAGAAGGTAAAGGTCGGTTTCTCCCTCCATTAATCACCTGCAGGGCCAGTGCTGCTGCAGCAAGGGCTGCACAGGAGGACCCATCCCTCTCCATCTCCTAAGGGAATAGTCCTCCAATGCTCTCATCCCCAAAGTATTTTTTAATTTATAAACCATTTTAATTTGATTTGGCATCCCTGCAACTTGTATCGTCTGTCAGCAGTTTTGTGACTCCTCTATTCCTGTGTTTTACTTTCCATCCTTTCTTCTCCTGTGTTCCTTTTGCCTGTTTGTCTTGCCCTTGCATCTAGAGCATAGCTATTTGTGATTTCCCCCTGTCCTCAGACATTGTGGGTCAGCATCTCCATCAGTTCTGAGCGTGTTGCTTCCCTCCCCACTCAGGCGTTTCCACTGGAAGACATGGAGCACGTGTCTAACAGGGATGATGTGAAAACCTCACTTAGGAAAGTGGTCAGAGAGGTGAGAAGTGGATATTGCCCATTCATGAGTGGTTGGGGACATCCCTGTGGACGTGGGTGAGATTACTTGGAGAGAAACTGGGGTGAGAAGTTTGTGGTGAGAAGTTTGTGGATTTGTTTGTCTATCAGTTTAGTGGCCATTCTGTGTCCATCTATTAAATAATTCACAGGAGTTGAAGTTTACCACAAGAACAGATCTCAAAAGAGGGACCCAAAACGTGTTTCCCCACCCTGAGGGGAAGGGCCTGGGCTGTGCAGGAGGAGCAGCACAGCTTTTCTCACAGGTGTGTTCTCCCTCCCCAGACATCCCACGAGATGATGATGCAGTGTGTGTCCCGGGTGGTCTCGCACCCGCTGCACGGTGAGTCCTGTCCCCTGGCTGCAGCCCCCTCCAGACTGGCATCACCCCACACCCTGCACACTCAGGGGGATGATTCTTGTGATACTTCTCCATCACTACAGGCTGCTGCTGGGGTTTGCCTTCAGGCACTAACACAGCTGAGCAATGAGTTTCTCTCTTCCCAATCATGCAGGACTTTGTCCTAGAGATCCCATTGGGGTTAGGGCCAGTAGCAGCTTCCCAGTGCCTAAAGGGGCTCCAGGAGAGCTGGAGAGGGACTTTGGACGAGGGCATGGAGAGACAGGACACAGGGAATGGCTTCCCACTGCCAGAGGGCAGGATTAGATGGGATATTGGGAAGTAATCCTTCTCTGTGAGGGTGGGGAGGCCCTGGCATGGGTTGCCCAGAGCAGCTGTGGCTGCCTCATCCCTGGAAGTGTCCAAGGCCAGGCTGGACAGGGCTTGAAGCAACCTGGGACAGTGGAAGGTGTCCCTGTCCATGCCAGGGGGTTTGGAAAAAGATGATCAATCAGGTCCCTTCCAGCCCAAACCTCTCTGTGATCCTCTGAAATCCTTCCCACCACTTACAGGCTCAGGAAAAGATGATCAATCAGGTCCCTTCCAACCCAAACCTCTCTGTGATCCTCTGAAATCCTTCCCACCACTTACAGGCTCAGGAAAGGCCCCAGTTTCTAATGAGTCTTGCAGTGCTGATGACCACTGAGAGGAGCTGGAGATGCTGTGAGTTGAGGGAGAGCAGAAGGGTCATTTTTCATTTTCCCTCACATCCAGTACAAGCCAGACTGGATTTGTTTGTCTATCAGCCCTGTGTTTCTTTCCTCCCAGTGATCTCCATGCGCTGCATGGTCCAGTTCGTAGGCCGGGAAGTCAAATACAGGTGAGTGGCTGCAGCTCTGGGGCCAGGGGGGCCAGGTGCTGACCCCAGATCAAATACAGGATGCTCTGGGATGGTCTCTGCGAGTGGGGCAAGCTGCTCACAACCCTCCACCTTCCAGGGAAGTGATCTGAAAGAAGCCACCACATTCCCTTCCATCCACATAAAATAAACACTGCTGGTGGCTGAATGAAACTTAATGGTGGCTCCCATGCTGTAGGGAATAGAGTTATCCAGGAGGCTTGAGAGACTGAAAAGTGAATCTGAGTTGTGCTTAGAGGGTGGGTGACTGGGGCGTGAAGGGGTGTGGGAAGGCTGGCTCTGTCCCTGACGTGCCTCTGTTCCACCTTGTGCCCATGGGGGTTTGGGGCTGCATTATCACCCCTTGCTGATCACACAATGAGTCTCCTGCCTTTTTCCTTGGCTATTAATGGAAAGGGAAGGCAGCAGGGAGGCAGAGTGGATATCACAAAGCTTTGCTGCAGCCCTGCTTAGTCTGTAAAATTTTTCCAAGCCTTTTGCAGTACCAGCTGCCTCTCTGCAGGGCAGAACTGCCTGTGGAGCAACGTGGAGGCACACTAGACAGGATTGCAGCCAGCTCACCACAGCCAGCTCGAGTTCCCAAAGGCAGGACAGGGTTCTGGGGCTTAGAATCAGCCAAATCAAACCCTATCACACAACATCTGTGCCCACTCACAAGGCCCCACAGAGCTCTTGTACCTTCAGCACTGAACAGTTGTGTGCAGGTTGGGTGTTCTCCCAGTGTCACTGCAGACTGGCAGAGTACACACACGACCTGCCTTCCCTCCAGCCTGCCTGCTCTGAGGAGAATAGGCAGAACAAGGTGCCTTCTGCTGGAATGGTGGCTGGGGAGGCTCTGCCATGGCTGGGGGCTGCAGGATGCATGTAAAGCTGCACAGGGCAGAGGTGGAACAATTCTGCACACTCACAGCTCTTTTCCTTTCTTGGCAGCGGTGTGTTCAGTGCCATTGGCAGGATATTTAAGGAAGAAGGGATCCTGGGAGGATTCTTTGTGTACGTGAGTTGTTTAAATGCTTTCTCCTGTAGCCTGAAGGCACTGATGGCTCTGGCGGCAGCTCTGCCACCCCCAGCTGGAGTCACACTGAGCTGAAACCTTGCCTGACCAAGGGACTCCCACATCACTCTCACGATTAAATCTGTGCCTTTGACAGCATTCCAGTTTGACCATTAAGTTTGCCCCAGATCTTATCTTCAATCAAACCTTCAGAGCCCAGAGAAAGCTGTATTTTTTCTTATCTTTCGTTTTCCCTTGGTGCTTCTTTGTGTTTCAGTGAAGGGCCATTTAAAGCATTTGTTTGTGCAACAGGCACCAAGATCAAGTGCAACAATAAGTTCCCTTGTTGAAATGAAAGCCAGGGCCTGGATAAGCAGCATATTCCTCTGCAGAGCACCGTGGGTGCTTGTAATGAGCAGGTTTACCTGTGTGCTTGGACTGTGGTGGTGCCTGGACCAGGAGGAGCTGAAAGGTGTTTCCAGCTGCTTACAGAGTGTGGCAAATTGGTGCATCACTGAAATGGAAGTTTAGTGGACACCTTTTTGCTTGAACCTTTAATTAATGCTTCCTGCCTTTCGTTTTCACATCTGCATAAAAGCAGAACCACCTGCTGTCTCTGCTCATGGTGGGGAGATAACTCACTTTATTATGTCAATAATAGTAAAGGCAACTCTGGAATTTCAGCCTTTGGCTCTACAGTCACAAAATATGAGCCTCCGGATGAAACCTGAATGCATCAGGAAGAGGGAAGCAATCACAGGGGGTCTCACCCTGTTCTTCCCCAAGGAGAAATGGCCAGGGATCTGCAAAGACCCCACCCATTGAGTATCACTGCCTCTTCCTTTGGCAGCCCACAGCTTCTCAGCTGAGCTGTGCAGCTCCAAATCTGCTCCACTAAATATAGGATGCTCTGGGATGGTCCCTGTGAGTGGGGCATGGCTGGAGCAGGCTGCTCACAACCCTCCACCTCCCAGGAAAGTGATCTGACAGAAGCTGCCACATTCCCTTCCATCCACATAAAATAAACACTGCTGGTAGCCTAGTGAAACTTAGTGGTTCTCAAGAAAGGCTTTAACACAACCCAAATTGTCTCAGGAAGCTCTGAAGTTCTACATGCTCTATAACCCTGTTAGGAAATCCCACTGCTGTGAAAGGACCACAAACTGCATCTGAAGGACCAGACTGCTGGTTTTCTCCTCTCAGCCCTGGTGCAACCCCAGCACATCCACTGCCCTAAAATCATGGCAGTGCACTTGTTTCTCGTGCCTTATAACCACCCCCAGCAATAACAGTGGCACACACTCTCTGGGTGTGTGCCTGGCTAGAGATAAAGGCTTTTCAAGGATGGATTTGTCTCCCTTCCCCTCATATCTGCAGCAGGCTCCTGCCAGTCCAGGAAGGTGTTCCCTGAGCTCCAAAGCTGCTGGGCCTGGTCAGCTCAAGGTGGCTTGTCCCAGGTCCCTTGCACTAGGGTTTCTGCTGTTGGTTACTGTACATCATTCAGGCTTCCTCCTCTGCCTGCTGCTATTCCAGCTTTTCATCACCTTTCAAAGATACTCCCAGTTCAGATCTTGGACATTTCAGCAGGTGTGAGAATTGCAACACTCACTTTTTTATGTCAATGGTAGTAAAGGCAGTGCAGGAATTCCAGGAGGGGTTTTCAGGCCTGATGCCTTTGGCTTGTTGGCTTTTTTTAGTTCCTTTCTGCAGCTCTCAGACCCCTGGTTTCCAGTCACCCAGCTCAGGGCCAGCAGCTGTCATTACTTTGGAGGGGAGAAAGGGATGGGATCCTTATTGGAAGTGGAATAAACAGTCTGACTCCCTATCAACAGTTGGGTGAGGTTTTCCTTATGGGGCTGCCCTGGCCCAGCCCTTTGCTTCTGGAATTTATTAGGCTCTGTTGTATCTGCAGCAGCTCAGGAGCTTCAGACTTAACTTTGAGTTAGAGAAAAGATGGTTTTTACAAAGGCTGAAAGCCAAACACAAAGCAGAGCATCTCTTTGGGGCCAGAGAGCTTTGATTTCTTTGTCCTGTCTGCTGCTCTCATGTATCACATCTTTGAAGCCAGTGAATCTTCTGTTGAAGGTTTCTGCTGTGCCTGGCCCCTGAGACCTCAGCTGCATCCACAGGGCTGCTGGGGCCTTAACAATGCACAGGTTCTTCCCAAAACCAGTCCCAGGTGCTGCTCTGCTGCTGCAGCAACCACAGCAGGAAACAAACTGGTCTCTTGCTCTGAGGAGGCAGCGTGGTGTTTGGGAAGAAACAAAAGACTCAGATTAATGTGCCTGGAGGTGGCTCTTTCCAGCTCAGCAAACACTCCTGTGGCTCTTGCCAGGCTCCTTTTCAGGACTGACCACATCTGCTGGTGAAACACGGGTTTGGCACACACCTGGATCCTTTTGCAGTGGAATGACCACTGCAAAAGCAGGAAACCCTGCACTGCTGCAGCAGATGCTGCAGAAGCACCAACAAACTGGAGAAACCCTCTGGAATATTTTGTAAAGTTTTAGTGCTATTATCTGCAAAGCTCCAGTGTGTCAGTGGGAGGCATTAACCAAAGAACTGTGCTCCTTGGGGCAGCAGGGACTGGGAAAAATGTCAGTGTTCCCCCACTTGCTCCCACTTTGCAGTGGGGCAGGTTGTGCAGGAACAACCCCTCTCATTTTGATTTCTAAAAGAACGGAGATTCCACAAAGAGATGAACTTCTCATTCTGCATCCAAAAGAGCATCTTCAGAAATGGAAACCACCTCATCTGTGTCTCACTTGGGTTTCTCAGCAAGAGTTGGGCCAAGAAGGGATTTGGGATAGAACAAGGGGAACTGAGTCATGTCCAAAAAACAGATCCCAAAAACTTTCCAGCCAGACCAGCACTGAAGGCTGAGAGGGCTCTTCCTGAAGGGAGATGAACGTCCACAAAGAGATGAATGTCTCATTCTGCATCCAAAAGAGCATCTTCAGAAATGGAAACCACCTCATCTGTGTATCACTTGGGTTTCTCAGCAAGAGTTGGGCCAAGAAGGGATTTGGGATAGAACAAGGGGAACTGAGTCATGTCCAAAAAACAGATCCCAAAAACTTTCCAGCCAGACCAGCACTGAAGGCTGAGAGGGCTCTTCCCTGAAATCTCCCTTTTCAGTTCCTCCCAAAGTAAAAATTTCATTTTGGGGGAGTGAAGTTCCTCTGAGCTGGTGGAGGGAAGGAGGGCTGGGCATCTCAGGAGGTGGCACTGGGACCCTCCTGCAGCTCACACCCCTCTCTTTGCCCTTGCAGTGGGTTAGTCCCTCACATCCTGGGGGATGTCATCTTTCTCTGGTGCTGCAACCTCCTGGCTCACTTCATCAACACCTACGCCGTGGATGACAACGTGAGTGGAGGTGCCTGAAGGGGTCTGCACCAAGCACCTGCAGTGGGGAGGAGTCACTGGGGAGCAGGGGCTGATTTAATACAGACCCCAGGCTTTGGGGACCTCCCTGACAGTGCTGGGGCTCTGTGTCTGCTCAGGGCTGTGCTTCACCTGCACTTTGGGGGATCACAGTTCTCCAAATGCCTTCCCAGACTCTCAGCTGGAATGCAGCCACTCTCTGTTGCTTTCTCCCTTGTCCCCTTGCCCCTCACCTCAGGCAGTGTCACATAGTGACACTCCCAGCCTGGTGTCACCCCCCCCTGCTCCACAACGCCTTTGATTTCTCTCTGCAGTTCAGCCAGGCCTCGGTGATCCGGAGCTACACCAAGTTCGTGATGGGGGTATGTAGGCAGCTGCCGTGTCCTTTCCCCTCCTCCTGCCACCTCTGGGCTGAGAGCTCGTGCTCTGGAGACACAGGCTGCTCTGTACTTGACATCCCTTATCCCTGCACTTTGGGGGATCACAGTTCCCAGACTCTCAGCTGGAATGCAGCCACTCTCTGTGTCTTTCTGCCTTGTCCCCTTGCCCCTCACCTCAGGCTCAGGGAGTGTCACATAGTGACACTCCCAGCCGGATGTCACCCCCCTGCTCCACAACGCCTTTGATTTCTCTCTGCAGTTCAGCCAGGCCTCGGTGATCCGGAGCTACACCAAGTTCGTGATGGGGGTATGTAGGCAGCTGCCGTGTCCTTTCCCCTCCTCCTGCCACCTCTGGGCTGAGAGCTCGTGCTCTGGGGACACAGGCTGCTCTGTACTTGACATCCCTTATCCTTAGCGGAGGATAACTCCGCTAACGTGCAAAAGCTGGAAATAGCGTTTTTGACATGGGGAGCGTTAGAGAGGCTGCTGGTTTTCTGTGCTTTCAGATCGCTGTGAGCATGCTGACCTACCCGTTCCTTCTCGTGGGAGATCTCATGGCAGTGAACAACTGTGGGTATGTCCTTCACACTGAGATCTAAAGCTTTCCCTTCCTTTCTTGCAGCCCCTTGTTGTCTGAATGGGCTGCTAACGACCCTAAAGCTTTCCTCCAGCCCCGTAAACTCTGTGGCACCTCGCAGAGCTGGCTCGTTTCCTGTCCCAGGTTGCATATAATTTTAGATCAGAGGGCACAGACACGAGCAGCAGAAAAGCTCAGGTGCTGAGAAATCGGGAGAGTTGTGGTGGTGTGGTCCCATCTGGGCTGAGCTGGGGGCACAGGGATCAGAGGGACAGTGCTGGCTCCAGGGAGCAGCACGAGGGAAGCAGAGCTCTCATGGGAGCAGACAGGAGCAGGACCAAGCTTGCCTTCCCAGTTCTCTGCTGCAAGTACTCTGCATTTTTGCTCATGGGGGCAGGATCCAAGGCTGGTGCTGTGTTTTCTCAGTATCTGCTGGCTTTTGAAGGTGTAGATACGGTCCTGAACTCTCTAAGTCTCCAGGTAATGCTCCTTGTTTGTGCACTCCAGGGGTAATTAAATTACAGATCTGCTGCATTGTAAATAAGGAGCTGTCACTTGGCTGCCAGCCCGGTGTGGACACTGTCCCCGTGTCCTCATTCACACTTGCTGCTGCTCTTTTGTTACCTGTGTGGGTAAGGTGACACATCCACCTCAGCTGTTCCCTGTTGCAGGTTGCGTGCAGGCCTCCCTCCCTACGCTCCTGCCTTTGCATCCTGGATCCACTGCTGGAGGTACCTCAGTGCTCAGGTGAGGGAGCAGGGCACACTCGGGGCTTTGGGCTCCCTCTGCTCCTTTCCCAAGTCTCCAGCATTCCCCAAAAGTGCCTGTGCTGCATCCTTGCCGTGCTCTGTAGCCTGCTCCTGTCCCTCCAGTTCTGGCACTGGTACCAGCATGGCAGGGCTGCTGTGCCCCTTGCACAGCCCGAGCTTGCAGCCTGTGAGCTTTTATCCTGTGCATTGCACACAGCAGAGTCTGAGCCCCTCTGCATCTGTCACCCCTGGGGAAATGCTCAACTCCAGCACCCACGGGGCTGGAACCTCACTTTGTCCTCAGAGCAGCCCAGGGTGCCCAGGCCTCCAGCCCTGCCGTGGGCATGGAGTGGGGCCTGCTAAAAGAGCTGCAGCTCCCTGGGCAGGTGTGAGGCTGCCCTGACCCCGGGCTCTCCTCCCCAGGGGCAGCTGTTCCGTGGCTCCAGCCTGCTGTTCCGCAGGGCGCCCATCCCAGCCGCCTCCTTCCCCCTCGACTGACGCCTCGGCAGGGACAGCTCATCAGCCTGGGCTCCTCGAGAATCCCCGAGCTTGTTTCGATATCTGTACATTTCTATTTTCTGATCCAAAGCCCATGGTGCCAGAACTGACACCTCCTCTCCAGCAAGGCCAGGAACAGACTTCTGGACATCTGGCTCAGGCTCCAGCTGGACCAAAGCTCCATCCTCGTGGCTGTCTCGACTGGGATGTATAGCAGAGAGAGCAGAAAGCTGTTGTCTCTTTGGTCCAAGCTGTAGCTCTGGAGTTGCTGGGGAAGTCCAGGAACCCAGAAAATGCCCAGGTACTAAAGGAGCCAGCCATGAGCTGCAGGGACAAAAGACTGCTTTGTTCTGCCTGAGCTGAAAAGAGCAGGAGAGCCAAGGTCACCTCCCTGGGAAGGTTATGCAGGTGACAGCCTCCTGCCTCATCCTTTCTGGAGAGAGCACCTTTGCCTGGCAGGTAGCTCATCCTGGGCAAGATCAACCTGCCATCTGTATTTAAGGTTTGAGGGTACCTGATCACCCAGGAACATCCCACCTCCCATGGGCATGAAAAGGAAATTATAGGCTCAAAACAGGGAAAGGAAACAGTCCCACTGCAAAGAGCAGAAGGGTCCCAAAGAGACAGGTCCAGCCCAGCTGAGGGCAGTGATGGGGTGTGGGCACAGAGAGGGCCCTTGGGAAGGGACATGTGCTGCCAGTGGTGCTGCTTTGGGCAGGATTTCACTCATGGAATGGGCTGTGTTTAGGATACACCCAGCAGATCTGTGGGCTGGGCAGGCAGCCTGCAGCCACTCTGGGGAGGCAGGTGCTGGGTTGGACTGGCCTGGCTGCACCAAGGGGCATCTCCCTGCTGGGCTCTTGCTCCTCTTGCTGCTGGGCTCTGAGAGCTGCACACAAAGGGCTGTCCTGCAGCAGGGGCAGCCATCCAGGGCTGTCTGCAATGAAGGGATACACCTTGAGCTGGCCAAAGGCTGGTAAGGCATCAGAGTTGAAGGCTCCTGGTGCTCAGTGGAGCACGGCTGGCTCTGTGTGTAGCACAGCTCACCAGTGGCACCGGGGCAGGATGGATGCTCAGCTCCCCAGACAAGAATTTCTTTGCACCAGTCTGTGCTGTGATGGCAGCCAGGCAGATTGCCCCTATTTCAGTTCCCCACGAAGCAGTCTTTTGCACAGAGGTGATGCTGCACTCCCTGGGAAGAGGTTTAGCACTGCTTGAGCAGGTTCCCATGTGCTGCAGCTGGGGTCACATCCCATCCTGATCCTCTGGGGACCTGCCATCACAGGGGGCTTTTTCTGCAGCAGGCAGGGTGGATGCACACCCCAGGCAGGGCTGGCAGGACTGTGGTGGTGTGTGCTGGGACTGGCAGCCCCCACCCAGCTCCCTTCAGTGTCATGAAGTCGGTCCTGTCTGTCCTCCCTCGCTCCCAGTTTGTGTTACAGTTCAATAATGCATGGACCTGTTCCCTAACACCAGAGATGATTTCAAAGATAATTTAATTATGCTCCAAAATACAGTTATAAAACAGCTATTGGGTGGTTTGGTTTTTTTTTTTGGGGGGGGGGTTTGTGATTTTTTTTCCCCCCTGTATAATAATGTGCTCCCTCAGGGAAGGTTTCAGTTTAAGGCAGGCACTTGCTTTGGTCTTTTCTACAAATCAGGGGCTAAACCAGCTGTTTAAAACTCAGATTCCCCCTGATTTCCCTCACCTCCATGGAAGGTAGGCATATTTAGGCTGAGCAAATTGCAGTGGGTGCACCTGGAGTGAGGGTGGAGGAAGCAGAGGGCTTGGGTGCTTGAAGCAATATATGTGGAATTAGATTTTTGGAGTTAAAATTGAACCTGAGGTCTTCTGGAAAGGGGTGATGGAGACCCTTTGCTGTTGTCAGACCAGTGAGGTGGGCTCAGCCATTCCATCTTCCCCCTCTCAGCTCCATCCTTCCCTTTAATCACCTCGTTTTATGACCTGCTCCCACACAGGGCATTGCACCTGCCAGGTCACACAGCACCTGCTCAGCAACATGTACCTTTGCCCTCCAAATTAAAGCCACCTTCTGCTGCTCACATGCCTGTCAAAGCTCCTGCAGCCCCTGCACAGCCTGACTGCAGCCACTGCAGGGAAAAGTGCTATTTCCTGTCCTTTGAGGAGTTTACCTAAGGAATTTACCTAAGGGATTTACCTAAAGCTGCACCAGTGGATGCATCCTGGCAGTAATTTCTGCCCAGTTCATCAGGGCCCACAAACTTGGCTGAAAACCCAACACTTGACTGTAGTTTTTGCTCAATTTAAATGAAAACCAGGTTTCAGAGCTTTCATTGCACTGCCTTACTTTGAACCAAGGGGCTGCCATTCTTAGGATGATTGAATATTTCCTTACCTCCTCTTTCTATCCCTGATTCTTTGCTTCATTTGAGGGGCCCCACCACAAGGACAAATGTCTGCACCAGGAGCAGGCAAGGAGACAACCCAAACCCTGGCTGGGCATCCCTCTCCCTTAAATTGCTGCCCATTAGTCAGTGCCTGGCCCTGCAGCTGGTGCCCAGGTATCCCAGCTGAAGGGGATGGGGCCCCATTCCCACAGGAGAGGGGATCCAGGGTGGAGCATGTGGTCGGGAGAGCAAATGAAGGGGTGGAGGAGGAGGTTTGGGTCTGGCGCCCGGGATGGAGCCGGGGGTTTGTCCCGCTGGCGCTCCCCTGTCTGCCCAGGAAACAACCTCTGGTTTAAATATTGACTCTCCTGCACAAAGCCAGGCTGGGTGGGGATCGCTGCTGTTCCGTGCCCACGCCGTTTATCAGCCTCCAGTGGAGAACTGAGATTGCTGGGACTTTGGCCTCATCTGCTCCCAGCTGCCCGGGGGAGAAGGGAGGCAGCGACAGCAGCCAGGAGAGGGAATCTCAGGTCAAGGCTGGTCTGTCCCTCCGTTGGGCATGGATGCTCGAGTCTGGCAGGATCTAGAAAGCAGCAAGATGAGCCTTTGTGCCCAGGGAAGTGCAGCTGAGCTCAGAGCCAATGTTCCATCCTCTCCTTTCCCCTGCAAAGCTGTCCTGCTGAAGACCCTTCAGTTCAGTCCAAACCCTCTCCTGGCCGTGCTGCTCTCCTGCCGTGGAGCTGGGAGGGAAACATCCCAGAGAGCCCTCCTGATGCCTGGATGGTGCCTGGTGTCTCCCTGGTGTCTGGTCAGTGGGAAGGCCAGGAGCTGCCAGCCCTCCCCCTCAGCCATGGAGGGCCCCATCTTGCAGCCACGCATGAGGAAGTGCCCTGTGGCACAGCTGCCCTCGATAAGGCTGTTTGCTCTGTTCTCCCGCAGCGCCCAGCTCCACGTAGGCAAATAATTCCTTAAAGAAAAAAAAAATATATATCTATATGTAAAAAATAATAACCCTCACAGAGGAGATTCTGCTGCTGAGGTGGTGGGGCTGGCTGGTGCCAGGAAATGCTCAGGGTGGGGACTTGGACTGGACCCAGGCACCAGGAGCACGGTGGCACTGGACCTGTCCCTGTCTTCACACAGCCCCATCCCCTGGGATGGCCTTCACTCGAAATGGGGGATTACAGAGGAGCCAGGTCCTCATGGATTCCCCCCGGATAAGGGAAATCCCATCTGGAAACAAGGAGAAGAGGCTACAAAGAGCACAGGAGCCAAGCTCAGCACAGCAGCCTGACCTGCCACGCTGACAGTGACAGCTCCGTCCATCACTCACGGCTGGTAAGAGGATGGGAAGGATGTGGGGAAGCTGCTTGCCATGCTCCTGCTTGCCTGCTGCGGTCGTTTTTTTAGGGTAAACTCCCTCAAATCTCCCTAAACTGAGCTGCTCTGTTCCCTGCTGGGCAGTGCTCTCAGGGTGGTGTTTCATCCCCCCCCCGAGGACATCGGTATCTTTTAGGGAAGAGGTGGCAGCACAAGGTCAGCACAAGGTCAGGCTCCTTTCCCTGCAGCCACCGTGACCCCTGCACACCTCCCTCGGCACTTTCACCGCACTGGGCCCCCCATCCCAGGGGAGAAACAGGAGGGGAAAAGTCTCCCCAGCTTCAAACTCATCCCCTCTCCCCGTGCTGTGACCCCAGGCCGGGCTGGCATGGCGAGGGTCGGCATCGCCGCGGCTGCGGCCCTGCTCGAGGCGCTGACCCTGGCTGCAGGCATGCGAGTGCTCCCATCCCTCGGAATGGAGTTTCTCCCTGAACAGCCGCCTGCGCTGTGCGGCCGGGCGGCTCCTGTCAGGCTGCCAGAGGAGGCCGGAGCAGCGTCACATGCAGCAAAGTTTTACAAGGCGAGCGAGCGTCTGGGGAGAGGGACGGGAGAGGGACCGACCGCCGCACGCACACACTCGGACGCGCACGCGGAGAAACCTCCTCCAGCTCTCATCCCAACGCTGATTTTTTTTCTTTCCTCCTTTTTTTTTCTTTTGTTTTTGGAAGAACAAAGACTTTGGGGTGGGTTGGCGCTGTTGTTTTGCCGGGGTTGCTGTCGGTGGATGGGGGGAGGCTGGAGGTGGAGGGGGGAGCTGGTGGCTTGAATGTGAGAAAGTCCCAAATTTCTCTGGCCGAGTTCATCTGTGCAAAACTTAGAGGAGGAAAGACGGGGGAGGGGGGGGAAATAATTAAAAAATAAAATATGATGACGTCACTCGGAGCAGGGGTGCCTTCCCTGCTGCCTGTCAGATGCGCCTGAAAAGAACAGGGCAATAAAACAACAGCCGCCTCTGTCTCCCTCGTTAAACACGGCACTAATTGGATGTTAATTTTTCCTTGCTCTTCTCGCTGCTCGATTGTGAGGGCTCTGCCTGGCTCTCCCTCTCCCGCTTCCTTTCTTTCCTGTTGCAATGCTCTTGGCAGCTCTGAGGGACTCCGGACTGTGCGCTCCCCTCCCGCTCGTGGACTGGAATAATTCAGGAGCTGGGAGAATTAAAAAAGACGAGGCGCGGGGGCGAACGGTTCAGAAACGGGGCGGGCGTGATGGATTTCGAGAGCTACGCTAATCTCCCCGTTTCCCGTGCATTGTCCTGCCGACTTGGAGCTATTCTCTTCCCATCTGATTTCTCTTCCCCTCCTTTCCCTTCGCATTGGGTTTGGACTGCAGGGCAAAAAATATATGTTTAAAAAAAAAAAACCATTAAAAAAAAAGGAAAAAAGGCAGGAAAAAATAGAAAAAATACTAAAAAAGGGGCAAAAAAAAAAAGAAGAAAAAAGCCAAAAAAAAAAAAAGAGGAAAAGAAAAAAAGCCTGGTTCAATGACGACAAACCCCCAAACCTCCTCCCAGCTCCCCCCGTCTCGCCGCGCTGCCTAACCCCTGCGTGGAAACAGGCGTTTTAGGGAGCCGGAGCAGGAAGTTGTTCTCTGTCTTGCCCAGGTCATCCTTCCAGGGTATGTGTGCAAGGGCGGTGGGCACGAGGCTTGGTGGGCGCCCAGCAGCCGTCGGCCGCCCCCCATGCTACCCCTGGCCAACGAGGCGGGTGAGCAGCGCAGGGGCAACGGGGGCCGGGTGGTGTTTTGGGGGACGCAAG